ATGTGGCCATATAAGGCCAGGTTGGGCTCGGTGCGCTCACTGGGTGGCGGGGGAGGGGTGCGAGGCCTCAGAGGACTGGTGGACAGAGCAAAGGACGATCCTGAGTGGTCAACACACCCAAAGGGCTGGCCCAGCTACAGTCCCACCTAACCATGGGGGAGGCCAACACTGCCCTCCTGATCCTGAATATGGTGGGCAGGAATCTGCAGACATACAACAACCATCAGCCACAGATGCCCCTTGCAGGGGCAGGTCCTGGGCGAGACTGCCCACTTGGACATCAGATGGATGAGGCTATGCCCAGGCCACTGTGGGCCTGAGCTACATGGGCAGTGTGTGACCCTGAAATCTGTGCTCCGCAGGTGTCTGCCTCAAGATCCACCCTGCTGTTCTGCAGCCTTCCTCAACCTCTTCACTGCTCCCATCTTGTACTGCTTGCTGGGGGCCACCAGGCCCAAGGCAGGGCGCTGGGCTGACTGGGAGGCTAGGTCAGGAAGAGTCCCAAATGGCAAAAATGTCACCAATGTCTCCCATAAGATGGCCTGACAACTGTGAGGGTCTCTACAGGTTTTTCAGACCCAATTGTGTGGGATGTGGCCACAAACAGCCCACTCCCCAAGAATCCACATGGTGACTAGCTGCCCTCTACTGCAGGTACGTGTTGAAATGCGGTGTGTGTGTGGGGGGGGCGGTCGTAAGAGCCCACCTGGCCAGCAAGCCAAGTGAAACTTGGACCCTTCAGGTGAGCTAGGGGTACCACCAGGGTGAGCCTAGGGAACCCCAGGGGTAAGCTGGAGTTACTAGGAGGGTGAGGGGGCCTGGTAAGGTGGAGCAGGCAGGGCGGAGCGGCGCGTGCCAGGCGGGCACTGTGGCAGGGTTCAGGGCTGGCGGGAAAGGGGAGGCGCTGCAGAGACCAGGGCGCGGGCTGGGCGCCAGGACTCACCTCGAGCTGCGGCCGCCGGCGGGAGGGCCCCAAGTAGCAGCGGCGGCAGCAGCAGCAGCGGCAGCGTGGGGCTCGGCAACATCTCGCAGGTCTCCACTAGGGTGGGGGCGCGGTCACCGGCGCAGGGCCCAGGGCCTCCAGACCCTGTACAACCGTGGGTCGGGGTCTGGCCCCCCTCCGAGCCCGAGCTCCAGGCGGAGGAAGTTCGGCAGCGAGAAGCTGTGCGTATCAAAGGCAGACAAAGGGTTTACACTAATTACCGGCCACCCCCGCCGCCCCCTCTCCAAACACCGTCTGGATTCCTGGCGCTTGTAACTGGGCCCTGCCCGCGGGACACACAACACCAAGGGCCCCGCAGATAATCGCCTGCGCCATTAGCGGACAAATTTGCGC